ATTTCTCCAAATTTGTCTACTTTTGCTTATTTTCTCAATCTCACCAACCTACATCACAATATCAAAATCACACATCTAATTATTTATCAATTATATAAACATTACATCATTAATTATTTATAGGGTGTCTGTTTCTGCTTTTCAGCAGAAATCAATCCGTTGGCAACACAATTCATGCCGTTGGGAGCCCCAATTTTGGACCAATTCTCTCACTGTAGGGCTGTAGGTTTGAAAAAAAAATGGGTAACATAATCAATTTTCCTTCCTCCTTGCAGCGCGCCCAGGCACGCCCTTAATTAACAAAAAAAAAAATTACATCTTTATTAATAACAAATTAATTATTAAACAATAATATTAAATATAAACTAAGCAAACGTGCATTGCGCGTTGCTTGCACCTAGTTCTTTTAAAACTTTCTAATTTTTCAAATCAATGTTAGCCCCTATTTGATAGTCATTATCGTGTACAGATGATTTTTCAGAGAATGAGTGATTAAAAAGAGAAAATTATTTGAATTTACATGTAAAATATTTTATTGTATAAATATGTTATTGAAAATTAATATGATAAATAAATTATTTTATTTTAAAGACAGTCAAATAAGGGCTTATTTTATCACTATTCCTAACTCAAATATTTTATTGTATATAACATTTTATAGATACAATAATAATTGCTCTTTCCCTTTAAATCCGAGCAACAACGGATATTTCTTTAGATCCTTTTGCATTCTTAGTCTTAATTACATGAAAATTGTTAATAAAAATGAAAGAGAGGAAAAAGAAGACGAACACAAAGATATGTACACTTGTACTCATAAAATAAATGGAGTAACGAAGAATGATCATGGAAAATGGATTTTTGAATTTTGACTTTCGAGATCATATGTAGGTAGAGAAAAAAGACTACGACAAGATTATAAAAATAAAGAAATACGTTGCAGTGGAGAACTTCTTTAATGAATGAGTTGACGTGATCACTGCCGGTGAATTGATGAAGGTGCGAAAGAATAGGTGCTTGAGTGGCACTCTTGCAACAATCGGATCAACTTAGGAGAAAAGTTCAGCGTTTTCGAGTTTAAA